ATATAATTTAAAATATCATATAAATAATAAAATATTTATTATAATTTACATCTCATAAGTCTATCATCTTAAGCCACTTTGCTAGTTGTCAATTAGAGAAAACTTAAGGATATGAGTTACAAATAATATGCACTAAATTTTTTTAATATAATTTATGTCAAAATAGTTCAATAATAATAAAATATAATCATCATAATTATAAATTATTCATTAGTATAAAAAATCTTATATGATAACTATAATCATCTTGAAACATAAATCATCTCTTTATATGAAAAATAATTATTATTTCATAATTTCATGAATAACGAAACAAATATCCATGAAAAATAATTATATTTTTAATTATCACATGTAAATTTTTATTAATATGTCATATGAGAAAATTATAAAATAAAATCATAATTTATGATTTTTAAATTTTGTATAGAACCCTAAATTAGACTAGTTAGCCTTATTTAATTGGATAAGTCTAGAATTGAACTACCTAAATTAGGCTCATAAATTTGGGCTAATCATCCACCTAATTAGGCTAAAAAATTGATGAAAATTTGACTTTCTCCTAATTAGATCAAAACTTAATTTATTGAATCTAAATACAATCAAGTAGTCAAAATACAATCATGATCAAGTTCAATCAAAATATTTGATTAAAATAAATCAAATTAGTTAATTTCGTAATTGAGGACACAAGTCAAATTTTTTTAATTTTGAAAGGCAAAACTATACTTTTTCATAAGATATATAATAGAAATATTTAATTTTTAAAGGGCATAACTGAAAAGTAAAATTTAAGGATACAGATTAAAAAAATTTTATTTCTAAGAGATAAAAATATCCCTTTAGAAAAACCTAATTCTCACATGGCGTTCCACTGTGCCCACGTAGGGTCTCATCGATGGTGCACCGGTTGTTCGTTTGCACGCTGCTTACGATGGCACAATTCTTCTCACACAATCGATTAGTGACCTTAGTGGTTGTCATGCCATGCTGCCATGTTCCTCACAAGTGGAACACTTCCATAGTGCGTCGTTGATCAAGCGTCATCGATAGATCATCTCACCATGTGATTGTGCACATGCACCGACCGACGAACTCCACAATCGTCGTAATGCATGGCACTGCCCATGTGTCTGTTGCGTAATTGCTAGGAACCGTAACCTTCAATATTTAGTTGACATCGATCGGGCCTACAGACGTTGCCACAATGACATTACTATAGTTGTCATAGGTAGCAAAATTGCTACAAAGTAATGCTATAGTCACCATAGCCATGGCTCTACTATAGCCATCGTAGGTAGCGGGGTTATTGTAGTCACTTGCAACCAAGGTAAGTTGACCATCGCAAGGCTGCTACACATAAATAGTCATGCATACGACCATCTTTGGCTATCGCAATCTACAACTCTTTTGTTGTGTATGCAACCATTGGCCACAATTGGGCTGGCGACTACTCGATGTCATCGCTCTCAACAATATTATCACCGACAGTAAGATGTCAATAGTAGTCCATCGATTAAATATGAGGAATCTCGCATTGTCCACGAGCAGTCGATATGATGGACTACATAGAAAAGCATATGGACAATACATTTTTATAAGTGAAGGGTACTAATAAATATATCTAAATACAAAATAGATCTAAAATATCTTTATAATCTAAAATATATGATTTCAAAACATGACTATGATACCAATTGTATGCATAAAAAATCATAATATACTATTGTTATGCAAAAAAACTTTAATATTAAAAGTTAAAATCAAATAAAAATAGATCAAATATAAGATGGGTACCTATGTTATTCAGAAATCCTATATGATCTACACTATCATCAGATTTGAAAGCTACAATAATTATGATCTACAAGGAGAATTAAATTCATCTTTTTCTCTTTTTCTATTCTTTATAGGACCACTATGAGTAATGAATTAAAGACAAAATTAAGTTGAAAGAAGATCCGTGATCTCTTAACAACTTATTATTTTGTCCCTAAAAGGTTATTTCTTTTCATATGTGAGAACAAAAGGTCTAAAATAAATAATTAAGATAATTCCTCTTCTACTTTCCTAGCTTTAAAAAAAAAAAAACTTTAATAGCTTACATAAGGAGGAAACTCATGCTTATTCCATTAACATTGTCTCATGTCATGGCTGCTTTCACTTCAAGAAAAGAAGCCCACATCAGGAGAAACCTCATGTTCATTCCTTTGACATTATGTCTCGCGTCATTGCTGCTTCATTGTGTACAAGACACAGCATGCACAAACCTTGAAACTTAATCTATGAAATGAAGTTGAATTTTCCATGTGTAGCCTCCAGATTCAAACACAAAACTTTATGTTCTGATATTATATTGAAGTGTTGATGTTAACCCATCCAAAACTCATAGATGAAACATGTTCCATTATTCTTGAAAATATAAAGAACAATTCCTTTTCTTACTGTGAAGAACTTTGTGATTGGTGTTGAGAAGAAAGTCATCTGAACAATGAGAGCAAAACATGTATATGGTGTCAATTATTTTTAGTGGAGATTGACACAGCATGATGCAGACTCTCTCTAATAATGTACAATTTTTGTAGGGCTATGAGGTTGAAGTGACTCCCTAAGTATCATCATTAGACTCACCTATATATTATTGTGTTAGAAAACAAGAATTCCACATGAGATGGAAATATTATAGCTTTGTACACCAACATTTTCTTTTAGTGCAAAAAGACATCTAAATTTAATTCCTCGTGATAAACCTGTCTGTGTGTCACATGAATTGGTTCAATTAATTCCTCATCTAAATGAAAGATTGAAGAGGGCATTTTACACATGATGGAGGAAAATGGATGATGGCTTCCTTTTGACAAGTCCACATTTTATGAAACAAATACATGCTTACTTTTCCTCATATTCTCATCTTCAAAACCACACTCACTATCCAATCACATCTACCTTCACCAAACAAACAAACAAAAAAAAGGGAATCACAATTCCAAGTGATTTTAACATTGTGCTTATCACATTTGTTGTTGATGAATGATACCTCTTTTTCATTAAAAAGATCAAACTATACAAATAGAAATATGAAATTTACTAATGTCTCCCACTAAAGAGAAAAATCAAATCAAATTTTCATCTGATTAATTTAGTATACTTCATATTAGCTAATCTACCTTAAGATTTCTTCAATATGACCACACACTGCCATGTCAAATTCTTCTTCGATAATAAAAAAAAACCCTTAATTTGTCCAAGAGTATGACCCAATTATCCTTATAGTATAGCTTCGGGAGATGCCCAAATTAAATTATATACTCTAATTAATCTTGTCATTGTATCTTCTACCTTCATCATTCATTCAGATGAGAGAAAGATATAGGTTGATGTGACACAATGTGATAGGTGAAATATTGACCCCAACAGCGGTGTATCGTAAAATATTTTCTTTATTAACTCATTATAAAAGATTATCTAGGACACAATCCACCATAAGATAAGTGGTCGAGTCCACATCAGCCCTCGAGCGAGCGATCAAATCTTCCATTTGATCACATCGGACTTCTTACGCGGACGACCTTGAATCGAATCGAGTTAATCCAGGCATCACGAAAATCATAATGCTTTCCCAAATTTGATTACGACCCATTAACCAAGTCTTATTCTTGGTGATGCAAATAATTTTAAGTTCAACCAATTCTTGAAACAATTTGTTCTCCATCAGCACATTGCAAGCAAGTATATATAGTGGAGATGCCATCAAGCATTTCAATGTCAGGTAAACTTTTACCACTGCTAAGTCTTACCAACAACCCATATTCTTTGTGGTTGAGACTCATGCAACACATTATGCTTGAGAAAAATGGGGTGGTCATACATCAACATCTGAATGGTCTTAAAGAGAACAACTAGTGGTTTTTATAGTCTCAAGAAATCAATAGGCATAAATAAAGTTGTTTTCTTCAACTTGAGTCTTGAATTGTAGATTTCTTTAATGGCTTCGTGCAGTGGGGAATTTTCTTCGGTGGTTTGATATTTGCGAGCGTGAAATCAGAAAAGTCCCCATAACACCCTTTCGATGTTTAATTTAATAAGCTAATCAGAAAAGTCGAATATATTTCGATTCAAGTTTTGTTTCTTAGGCATGCTTATGAAACCCTTTTTATAGTGGGTTCTCTAAATCATTACCTTCAAATGATACATCGAGCATGGGATGTGGTACATTGATTTTAGACATAACTATCACTAAGGTGTCGGTTGTATTGTGCCAAGGTATCGAACACGTGATGTCGAGTTATTCATCGCGTGACATCAAGGTATCAGACACGTGGTGTCAAGGTATCATATACATAGCACAGGGTATCGAGTTGTCGAGGCATCGGACGTCTAGCACTGAGGTATCAAACTTAACATGTGAGTTTGACATGTTGGTAAGATGGTGTTGACGTATCAATCACATTATTCTACTTATAATAAATACATAAAAAATTATATTTATTTATTATAAGATACATAATCAAATAATATTTTTAAGTTTTTTTTATAAAAGATAAATAACAAAAATAAAAATAAAAATTCAAAGTGTTTACCAACTAAACTAGTCAGTACCTTCATCATCCAAAATATTTTTAAACTCTACTTTGATCCAATAATCTATTCCGATCCACAATTTTTCCTATATCTACCTCATTGGAAAATATTTGGATTTTAATTATTAATTTATAATCATCCCCAAATAGTTAGAAATAAATATACAGCTGTACCTACTACGGGCCATCATATTTAATGACTATAAATACCTAAAATATTTATAATATACCTACCATCTTAATCATCATTAAATCACCTCCACAAATTAAATGATATAATTAAACTAATCGATATTAGTACCTACATAATTTGGTCAAATTAAAGTCATGCGGTAGGCATATGGTGGGAAGGTAGGCGCAAATCGACGGAGGAAGGCTTTAGCGCACATGGCCCGCGTGCTCCACGTGCGCCTCCCCTCTCTTCTTCTTCCTCCCCGTCGTCTTCCTCCCGTGGAGAACGCGTATATGACACCTGCCCTCCTTCGCTTCCTCCTCCCTTGTCATCGCCCTACACCCAAATAGCGCTTCGAGAAGGACTGCGGAGACAGAACACGATGGGGTTCGGTTGCGATCCCGAGCTCCGGCTCTCGCTCGGCGGCCGGGACGACGACGAAGGCAGCAGCTCGAACGAGCAGTGCAAGTCTGCGAGGCTCAGCAGGTGCGTAGTATTGTGTTTGCGTCACGGAGAATTGGAAGCAAGAGTTGATGATTCATGTAGGTTGCGGTTGACGTCTTCTCAGGGTTGAGTCGATGCTGAGAAGCTCGACGCAGCACCAGCAGCAGGTGACGACGGTCTTCTGCAATGGCCGGGTCTACCTCTGCGACGCCACCGAGATCCAGGTTCCTCGTCGACCTGATCTTACTTCTCTCTCCTCCTTCTGGTCCATGCACGGCTACTGATCAATTCGATTCGCCCCGCAGGCAAGAGCGATCATATCCATGGCCAGGAGGGAGATGGACGACACGATGACAAAGAAGAACCAGCAGCAGCCGACGGCGCCGCCACCTCCTCAGGCTGTGCCGCAGATCCTCAACCCCGGGCTGTCCATGAAGCGATCCCTGCAGCGGTTCCTGCAGAAGAGGAAGGCCAGAATCAGCGATGTCTCCCCTTACACTCAAAGACACAAGCTGTTCCTCCCGATCGAATCACAGCAGGCTTAACTCCTGCAACTGTTCTTGATGCGTTTCAAGAAGAGAGGACCAAAGAGATGATTGTATTGTTCTCCCTTTCTGATTTCTTATTCCTTTTTCCTGATATGTTTGAGCTTGACATAGACGTTGTTTTACATATCAGGCTTTTGAAAGGTTTCTCCATCCATATTGTATTATGTTTGATCAATTCAAGTTTAGCTGCAAATTAATGGGTATTGATAATAGTACTGGTGATTAATTCAAGTTTTATTTTTTCGAAGCATGTGGGCTCGAAAAGATATCTTTGAGGGTAAAGGAGATTCGAGAGACTTACAAACCCTTGTTTCCCCTACTTATCAACTAATATAAGACTAATATGATCTTGTCAATGCTCTCCTGGAGGGGAGTCAAGAGCTCAAGGGCCCTCCTTCTAACGCTAAGTATTGAGTATGTCATTTATTTCTATAATAATTGAGGAGTAAGGGAACCAAAGACTCATAAACCTTCCAAGTCTTCTTTACCCTCGTAGGCACCTTTTGGATCTCATGTACTCTAAAAAGATAAAACCATGCAGGTATACTCATCTGTCCAAAATAGTAATTCCTTGCAAGCCCATCACACTAATAATTATCAACTAAATAACTTATCAAATTGGCGATAGTTGAAGGGCTCTTGAGCCTGTCTTTTCTTTGGGAGGGAGTACCGATAAAGTCATTTGAATCTCACACACTTTAAAAGGGTAAAATCGTACAAGTATGCTCATTCGTAAAAAAGTAAATAATTTCTCGTGAGCCCATCGCATCAATGATCGTTGACTAAGTGACTTCTCTAAGTATTACATCTCAAAAAGATGGAGAGAAAACAAATTATTTTCTTATCAAATAGGACTTGGCAGTTCATCAGCACTAAAAATTACCATATTAAGATAGTATATCTATCTGGACCTAATAAGTCAATTCAAATTTTCTTTTTATGTGGAATTAAATCTGGGTATTACATTCTTCCACATAACAGTAATTCTTGGAGAATACTTTCACATAATAGTAATTCTTGCAGAATACTATAGAACAATGAAATTATTTGTTCTTTAAGAAGAAATATTTCCAAACTTCAATTCCTTATCCTTCTAACTAAACTTATATTATCATAAACACTTCTTTTATTTGTTTAGTTTGACAAAGCAATTGTTTGGACTTCAAAGACATTTTTATTTAAAGAAATCAGCAACCTCATAAATGTGCCTATTCATTCTGTGCATTATTCAGCAAGAAGAAAAAGTAGTAGAAGAAGAAGCTCTTCACAGTCAAACACAATGTAAAATCCTGAGTTGGATTCTTGGAGAACATATGCACCACATGTAAAATCTCAAAGGTCAAACCATGGACACCACAACAAGACATTTTCCTCAAGGATTCAATGCTGTTGAACATATGGAGATTGAAAATTGGCTGTCAAAAGGTTTCTCACATGTGATGTCCAAAGAAAAGAGCACCAGCATATTCTAGATGGAGTACTGAGATGTGGAGGAAGTAGCAAAGTCCTCATTTGGTTGCAAAGGTGGTGTGCTTAGTTAAGGCAGATATCAGGTGGACTAAATCATTTGCAGTGGGTTTGGCAAGTCATGCCAAATCTTTGTGTGGGAGACAGTGGGCTACTAGCTAACATCAAACTGGCATTACCACAGGCTAAGTTGACCAAGTTGTTGACTCAAAAGTTAATGGATTAGCTATATTTAGTCATGCAGCATGTCTTTGATCCCAATATAAAGAACTTTTCTAGATAAGTAGGTTTGAAACATCATTATCTAATCAATCTTTTCGAGCTAAAAAAGATGAGTATATTTAGTATACCCCCAACTAGACTAATGATTTAGATGTAAAAATTTATCAGATGAGATCAAACTTTAATAAGCAAGGCTAATTCATCATCATCATCATCATACTAATGTTTAATATGACACTTTGTATAATAATTATATAAGCAAACTATCATTGTTGCTCCATCGAAATATAAATATACGATCACATAAGTATAATTGTAAAATAATCATGAACACCGAGTTCAAGATCAATCTATCGCTCGCAAAAACCTTGGATGACACGGATACGATCAATTATTTTAGTTCTTGAAATCTCAAACTCGTACTAGTAGAGACATCACAAACAACACAATGTCGATCCATCCATTGGACCTTACCATGACTAATTTTCATTGCCGATAACATGAAACAAGTCTTCAAAGAAGAGTCAAGATATAAATAAATGCCTAAACAAGTCTTCAAAGAAGAGTCAAGATATAAATAAATGCCTTCCTTGTAGCTTACAAAAGTTAGTGATCCAATCTATTTTGCCATAAGGCCCATTTGAGGCCTATACAATGAAACTATAATCGGCGCTTCTTTGGAAGCTTTTAAGAGAATAGAGAAGAGCTATATTGAGACATCCGAGTTGATTAGTACATTATTACACTAGTAATATGTTAAAGATCTGAATCCAAGGATTATGAATCTAAAGATATATCAATATTTTCCCAACCAATTTCACAAAATTGGGTATCCCATATTGAGATTTTTTTGGGTAAATCCAACATAAATTATTTTATGGCATTCATTTCAGAAAATTATAAACCATCCTTCTTATGACCAGTATCATTTGCCTCAATTTATCTGTGAGAATTCAATGTTTAAATCTATATTGGGGACACCAAATTACGACCGAATGGAATGGATCAAATTCAGATTTACATATATAAATAAGCTTGTGTGTTTGGTTTCGTAGATAATTTGACCAAATAAACATATGATCAGAAAGATAAGAAAATAACATTATATTTGGTGCTATGGTAATCATCCGCAGTCAGTCGATTCTTTCAACTCAATTTGAACTCTCAAATCCTCCTTAGATCTTTTCTCGATATGAATAAATATGGACAATCAAGCTCTTATCGAGTACTAGAGAATTTTACCTTGGAAGAAGTCATCACATTGGGTCGATTAAAGCTTCTTAGGTGGATTCCTTCCTCGCTGATGAGTCATCATCGTTGGTCGGATTTCTTGTTCATGTCTCTACTCTCCAAAAAGGATTTTTACTAATTTAGAAAAAAAAAAAGTCAAACCCAATGAATATGTCAAATCACATTCACAATCAAGATCGCCATTTAACACTTTCAATTTTCTTTTCTAACCTTATTTAAGCTCGACATCCTCTCTTTTATCATTAATTCTCAACATAATATTTTTCTTACGTGATCAAACTTATCCACCGTTGTTATCATTATAAGTTTCAATAAATATTTTTCACTTAGATACCTAATTCATATTTAAATGAGTTGGGCTCAAATTTAAGGGCCTAATATAGGGCCAGTGTAGATCTCATGTCATTTTACCCGTTATAGTTAGTTACTTTTAGTATTTTTATCTTTATACTTTAAAAAGTTATATTGGTATTTCTATAATTATGAAAGTGAAACATCTAGGTCCATTTACCCTAACATCATCAATTTTCTAACAAAAACACAAAAACAAAGGATAAAAAATAATTTTAATGTTTCAGCTAGTGTTGACGAATGATGGTGTCACTAAGGGTCACGAGTGACTATTGTGGATAAGGAGAGCAACGTAAGAGTCGCTCAATATCTGCATCAATGCCTACGTAGATATAGAGCAATGCCGCTTTGCATCTACGTCGGCATTAACACAGATGGTAATGGCCATCATGATGTTTATAACAAAGATGGTGGCTGTCTTGCCGCTGACTCGTTAGGCAGATCACTCGATCCGAAGCTGGGGTTGCCGCAGCTTCTGTTGTTGCCCCCGCTACTATATTAGTTTCAGCATAGGCATGAAAAAGGGGAGATACGGGGCTCATCAGAGGAGCAATTTTATTCATTGCAATTATCATCGACTAGGAATGGAAACTTTGGAAGGCTAATAAGCAAGTAGTTGTTGAGCTCCCAACAAACATATCCAACAACAGTAGAAAAATATGGGTCCCGAAATTTGACCTAATGACCGAGTAGTCTTCACCTTTCACCGTCACTCTCCTTATCCACAACAGTCACACGCGACCCCCAACAGTGTTGTCGTCTGCCACCACTAACTAAAATATTAATATTACCTTTTTACCTTTTATTTTTATATTTTTATTAATAAAACTAATGACATTATGGTAAATTAACCTATATATTTTACTTTTATATCTATAAGGATGTCAATATAATTTTTAAAATATAAGGATTGAAATACTAAATATAGCTAACTACAATTAGCCCAATTTTAGGATGCATTGATTCTTGAAACTCCAATTTGAACAAATAAATTCGGTATATAAAAGTTTATTATTGTTAAAAATAAGTTCAAATATTTTTGTGTGATTCCTATCGAGTTACGTCTCCTCGAACCGGTGACATAGAAAGCCACACCAATGTGTCACTATTGAGAAGTCCATCATCCACAAGCTAATGTATTTTATTGGGAGACAACACCGTAGCATCGACACGAAAGGGTGGGTGGGTGGGTGGGTGTATGGATGAGCTCCAACAAAAGCTGAAACCAAAAGAAATGCCACGAAGCTATTGCCATCATCGTGCTAAAGAGAAGATGGCTTTCCGACTTCATGAAGTCATGGAAAGGTGTCTCTGCCGACTAAGTCTTGCGTGGTTACTTTAGATAGAGGCTTTGACGGCTAAACTAAAATACACGCACTCGCTCTCTTTCTTGTTCATTGAAAGTTGTAATTATTCATACATAATTAGAAGTCGAAGCATTAGAAATGCTTCTACAATTTTACACATCAATACATGATATTAGTTTTCGCTATAAAAAATTTACTTTGGAGCTTAAATTTGGCCTAAATCTTATTATTATGATCTGACCTGTATTATGATCTGACCTGATGAGATAGTCAATTGAATCCTGACAATTAATAGACGCTTATAACTCAATCTAAATCTTTATTTATTTTTGACGTAAAACTAATCGACACGTTACAAAATCCTTCGAGTTGTTGTATAAAAATTCTCATCATTTTATTTTGATTTTGAAGGGTGAGACATGAATTAATATATGCATGTATTTTTTTTTATAAAATGTTAGAGTCTATTTGATCGGCTTAAATTAAATTTATACACTTTTGAATCGAAATTTAGATAAATTCAGATATAAAAATAGGTATTTGAGTCGGATTCTACTTCTCAAGTTTTTATTAATTTTGGGCATAAAGATAATCTTTTTTTTTATACCCGTT